ATCTACAACTGGATTGATCATCTTCTCTACAAAATCATTTTCTCTTCCTGACTTGTTAGGCTAGGCTAGTGTAGAGTAGGGGTTCAACAAGAGCAGATTTTGGATAGATGCGTTCCAAAAGGAGAGCACTGTACAATATGAGAAAGGCAGCAAGCTAAAAAACAAATGAGGTAAAATATTTTCTCACTATTTTGCAGAATAAATGTTATGGGGTTTGCAACCCAGTGTGATGCAAGTGGCTGGATTGTGAATCTGGAGCTGTGGTGGGGGAAGGTGCCTATTAATTGTGTGACCCACTAATGTTATTACTGCCCTGTTCAAAAATCTTCAGGGTCACCACACCATGTACAAAACTAGACACACACACCCTACCTACAATCTTATTTGCTTTCCAGCTGGTTACCTTGACTCATACCCTGCTGCTAGAATGTTCTCCAGAAACTTGAGCGTTCTTCTCCTTTCAACAGCCATCTCGGAAACCAACTTTTTAGGAAAACTTTCTTGATGCGCCCCTACTTTTCCTAAGAGAAAAGAATCTCTTCCTGCTTTCAGCCTCTGGGGTACTTTTCTTAGTGCTTGTCTTCCTATGCCTTTCATCATTATCCACTCTGTTCACCTTGAACATCTCCTGGAGATTTGTAATTCCTGAGGGTAGGGACTGGTTCATTTATCTTTGCATCTCTAGAAGTGCTTCTCATGCGTCTTTCATGAGTAGGATACTCAGTACTTGTCTGCAATTGAACTGAAATGATATCTATGCAAAAAACAGGCTTACAGGAATGGTCTGCCTGACACTTCTCACATATCACAGAGTAAGCTGGCTAGCACATGTTCACTAACTCTAACTTAATGATTGATGAGTAACTTCTAGTGACATTTTGCTTGCATGTGGCCTTGACCCATACAGTTTTCTGGACCAGAGGACCTTCCCCCAGGCTGTCCAGCTAACTCTTGCTCCAGAAAGTCTTCCCTAACCCCAGCTCACCCAGGCATGTAACCTGTGTGACCTCTGAACCCCATACTCACATAGCTGTCAAATTTGGTTTCACACTGTTGTCACTATCTTGAAATCCTTAATACTTTTTTAAAACAAGTCTCATATTTTCATACTGAAATGGAATCCATGAATTCAGCAGCCAGCACTGCCTACATCCCCTATGCCATCTGATCCTGGCATCCCCGGCACATCCCGTCAAAACATTTTCTGCATATGTCTGTCTACTTGTCTGTGTGCCTCAGTAGACTTTAAACACTGGGAAGGCAAAGAAAGAAAAGAAAAAGAAAAGCAAGAGGGAGGGAGGAAGGGAGAAAGGAATTCACTTTTATCATTATATCCACATAGCTCAAATTAGCATTGTATACTTAATCAGTATTTACTGATTGGATAAATGGGTGAATAATGGAAAAGAAGAGGGAATACACTAATTAATGTATCTGCCCATTCTTAAGCCCACTTGGACAACCGGAGTAATGGAGGTCTTTCACTTGCAGTCTTCAGATGACAGAAGGCTGATACAGAAACTATTCTAAAGAAAGATAATATTAGTTCAAAGAAGAAAGTGAGCAAAGCAGAGGCATGAAGAAAAATGATTAAACAGTTTGCAAATATTAATCTAGAAGGAGCCAGCAAAAAGATCTATTTTGGACACAAATATAGAGTCATGAAGCTACCATAGGATGGTCTTGGAGGAAAAGAGTATCGTTTTGGTTAAATGATCCCCTGCTCATGTTTCCTAATGTTCTCTGCTAATTCTGGACTCAACAGCCATTCCCTCAAAGGGACACACCAGTCACTGTCCTTATTTGGTACCAGGTCATCCTCCCAACCATGTTAGAGATCCCTGAATTTCATTTTCTCATTGCTAGTTTAGGGTCAGGTAGGATCATTGGATTTTGATAACTTGTTTACAATTTTTAGTCTAGTCAATTTAAAGTACAATTCAAAGTGTCCTGATTCATTTAGTTGCATTGATCAAAAGTATCATGAGTTACTTTTAAAATCATGTGCTGGGTTTTTTGATGACTAGTAGATTCCTTCCCTCCTGTTGGTGACGTGGTCTATTTGGAACAACACTTACTCCTCTCTCCATTTGAGGAGTTAGACAAGTATCTCCAAGACGTCCCACTGGGTTGAGAATGTGCTTGCCACCCTCCTCTCCGCATGCTTGCCCTCATCCTGAGTGTTCTGGGGGATGAGAGCCAACAACACATTGCTCCAACCACTTTCTGCTGCACGACCTCAGACAAGTTACAAAATACCCCTAATTCTCAGTGTGTACATCTGCACAATGGAAATAATGATATTTCTGTGTATGTTTGTGAGAAAAATGTGGGCAAATGCAGGGAAGGGGGGATAAGCATAGTCTTTTATTTTTTTGTACCAGGGATTGAACTCGGGACCTTGTGCTTGTGAGCCAGGCAGCAGAACCACTGAGCTAAATCCCTGGCCCAGGCATAGTTTCCACTATTCTGTGAATGGTAGTAATTATTATCAGCTCACAGAATCTGAGCAGTCAGAAGCTCCCATTCCAGTTCTCTGTTGCCATAGAAAGAAAGAAGGAATACATGGCATCAGTCAGAGGTCAGCAAAATTATTCTCTAAAGGGCCAGAGAGCAAATATTTCAGTCTTGTGAGCCAAACTATCTCTATTGCCACTACTCAGTTTTATAGTTGTAGCATGAAAGCAGTCTTAGACAGTACATACATGAATGGGTGCAGCTGTGCACCAATAAAACTTTATTTACAAAAAATAAATGTTAAGGGCTAAATTTGCTTCCCAGGCCATAATTAGCCAATCCCTACCTATAGGCCCTTGGGTTCTCTGAGTCCAATGTAGTAGAAAGACCTGTGAGATTTTTCAGGCAAGTCAAGGGAGGCAGGGATTAACTTCAGTGTCAGATGGAGGAACACAGAAACCAGTGTTTAAGTACTTATTGTATGACTTTCCAAGGAATACTTAAAAGTGAAAAGTACGGCTTAGAGCATTAGGTCAGGTTCTTAGTTTGTTTCGTTTGTCTTGCACTCAAGATAGTAACTTCAACTTTGAAACAGAACCTTCTCTTTTGTTAGACATTTTGCTTGGAGCTCAGCTCCCCTTTGATATTGGAAGCTCCATGTTTCTAGAAATAAAGTCAGTAGGTTGACAGGTAGAAAATGCTTGCTCTTGACGTCTACTTAGAGGTCATTTCTCTTGCAATTTGACTATAAAGAAATGGATGGTACCTGGATAGCAAAGGAAATCATTCCCTTCCTTCTCTATTTTTATTAATATAAAAGGAAGACAGATGACAGTCCACTAGTAGTATCAGTTTGTCAGTGCTGCTAAACCTGAGGTGGAATCTGCTTCTTTGAAAGGACAGTCAGTTGCTACAGCATGAGTCCTCGGATAGGACAGTAAGAACCATTTTCTCAGCCTTTCCTAGGGTCCCTCCGTGGAGTTGTGTGGGAAATTCAGATACCTCAAACTGAACATGTAGACACAACATGGTATGTACACAGAATCACACATGCAACCTTTCCTTCATTCATAAAGTTGCAAAGCACCCCGATTTACATCGTATATCATAGTGGCTGGCACATACCAGGGGCTTTTATGATTTAACCTATGCCCATTCAAATGGGGCTGATGTTTTATTCGTTCTGTAGTGATAAGGTAAGGTTCTTACCAAATTTCTCTTTTTTGTTGTTTTACAGTTTTCTCCTTGTCTTTGGTTGCTTGATTTTGTCAGTGTTTTCTACCATCCCTGAGCATACAAAATTGGCCTCAAGTTGCCTCTTAATTCTGGTAAGTGAAACATTTGAACAAGAATGTGCATAAAGTTTATATAATTCTTTGTGCTATGCATTGTATCCCACAAAATGTTCGGTCTAGAAAAAAAAGTGTTACTGTGAAAGATGAAAGTTTCAAAGATCACTGAAACCTACTAGCTTAACCTGTAGTTAATCTTGCAGAAAATACAGAAATATTAAAGATCGCTATTATGTAGCAATATCTTTGGTCATAAGCACTTCATACAAAGAACACAATATTAGAAACAAGTTTTAATTATATTTACCTCTGCTAATGAAAATAATTATAAGAAGAGTCAGTGTCATGACTGCTTGCATTATTGCTAAAACCTAGAGTAGTGAGAATTTTCCAATAACTGCAGTTTAGTAGTAGCTAAGTGTAATTGACCAAGAACTATGAGAATATGGCACCTCATGAGAAAACAGAAGGTTCTTTCATGCTCTTTTCAAATAACAGACTGTATTATGAGTTTCCCTGGTAATGCAGTTACCTGGTGAGAAATTCTGCAGTTTTCTGTCTTTCCATTATGTTGTCAATCCTCAGCCTCGCAGAATTACTCAATTCACTTTCAAATGGAAAAAGTCCCTTAAATATTTTCTTCTGAATTATTCTGGGACTTTTAAGCTCTTATACTTTCTATTGCAATGAAACTATAATACTGTATGCCCAAATTACACCTGATTGAAAGTTTGGTTCGTTTTCATCCATTTGACCTGCTCACGTAGCCCAAAATTATCAGACCTGACAGTCTCAGAACTGTCTGAATGAACTGGAACAGCTCACTTCTGTGAAGCCTAGTGGAATACAAAGGAGGAGAGATCATTTAGAATGTTTTATGTGCCCTAATAAACAGAGATGAGTTATGTACAGCAATAAGCATTTAATATGAGGAGAATGTCATTACTATGAAGGTGGAAACCAAAAGATGTCAACTCTTGTAACCTGAGAGGAAAGCAGATGCTTTTCCTACCTTGGCTTTCAGATGGTTTGTTTGTGCTTGGGGTTGCCAAGGCATCAAATCATCCAACCAACATTAGGAGGGAAACATCTTTGAGTCTGGAACAAATCTACCCCAATTTGTTTTCATACAAATTGTGCTCAGGGTATACTTCTAATGTTAATATTATAGTTACTGTTTCAAAATCCAAGGCAGAGAACAGATAAGCTGAAGAGCATATAAGGGATGTTTTCCATTTACAAGGTTTTCACTTGAGTGGTAAGTAGGCTCTTAGCCCCATCCACCCCTTTGATTGTAACAGGTGACCTCAGCCCCAGGTTGAAGGCACAGCACACTTTAGGTCTACACAATTAACTACATCCAGGAATTTTAGATTGAGAATATAAATCTGATTTTCAGACTTGGAAACATGAAAAACTGGATCTACTGCATGGCCAGTGATATACATTAGACATAAATCAATCATCAGGTAACCCAGGAAAAGGTTTCTTTCCTAACTACATCAAGAATTCAAAATGTTAGGTTACATCTTCCTAATCTCTGAAATGTAAATGCAGGCATTGCCAATGAGTTTCTATATATATGGTCCAAAGAAACCCATGTAACTACAAAGCCCAAAATTGATTAGAATTTTGACTTTAAAAAATGTTTTGAACAGTCAACAACTGATCAGTGTTTCATAACTGTAGTGTATTTTATCTATAAAAATGTACACACTGTCAATCATTGGGGGGGGTGCATTGGTAGAAACTGAACTCAGGACCTTGTCTCTGGTAGGCAAGAAGTGCTCTATTACTGAGATCCAATCTCAGCCCCAAAGTTGTCACTCTCCAATGCCTTTGGACTTAGCAAAGTAGAAAGGAGTCCCTCTGCTTTGTCCTCAACAATGTGCAGTTAGTGCTGCAAACAGGTATTTGCAGAAGGTGCTATATCATGTCTTTCCACGGGAAGAGAGTTTGCTAATTATCTTATTTTTGTGCTGTAGCTACACATGGTCAAAGCCATGCATTTTAAAGCCAAAGTGCATTCTAAAGACCTACCTAGAAATCTGTGGACTACTGCAAAGCTAAGATTTAACGGTGTTCTTCAACGTTATTTCCTCTAAAAGCTGTGTTTTATTTAAGGAAAACAATTCAAATAGTATCTTTGGGTTTTTCTTTCTTTAGTTAGCAATTTAAAAAATCAGAAAACCTTGCATATTTTAATTTTTTCACAGTGAGTTAACATAGTATATCACAAAAATTCAATCAATTGTGGAACCCAACTTAAAGTCAATTTTGTATATTTTGCTATTGGTGTCCACTCAACACCACCAGTGGAATAAATTTAGAATGTCTATAAAATAATCACAATTCTATATTTTTGGAAGTCCTCATTTGTGTGTGTCTTTAGAAAATGTGATCATAAAGTGGTGAATGCTGCTGCCAAGCATCATCCAACAGAAAAGCAGGGTGGTAAAAAACATTATAGTGAGCCCTCATCCACCTTATTCACAGGATCTGTTACTGTATGACTTCTGGTTTTTCCCCCAAGACAAAATGGTAAATGTTTTAAATCCATTCAGGACATTGATGCAGCCATAAGAGTACCATTAAATAAAGGCATTTACAAAAGAGGACTTCTGGAAGTGCTTCAGAGAGGGAAAAGTATGATGGGATAGGTATCTTCAAAGTGAGGGGGATTAATAGTGATGTTTCTTTTACTTTAAAATATTTTTTAATTTAAACATGCTCTGTATTTTTCAATTACATCATATCTTCTCCATCCACAATGGGATAAAGTTAAATATTAAGAACAGAAATAAAAGTGGAATGGATCAAAGAAGAAATCACCAAAAAATTTAGAAAATACTTAGAAATGAATGAACTCAAAACACAATCTGTCAAAACTTACTGGACATGGTTAAAGCAGTGACAAGGAGGAAATTTATCACTTTACATTATCACATTAAAGAGCAACAAAGATCTCAAATCTGCAAGCTAGCTTTACAATTTATAGAACAAGAAAAAGAACCCAAAGCTAGCAGGAAAAAAGGAATAATAAAGAGTACAAACAGATACATGACATAGAGAAACAAAAATAAAGAAAACCAATAAAACCAAAAGTTTGTTCTTTGAAAACATCAGGAAAATTGACATATCTCTAGCTGCATGGAGTAAGAGAAAGAAAGAACAACTCAAATTAATGAAATCAGAAATTAAATGATCCTACAGAAACAGAATGGATTATGAGAGTACTATGAATGAGTTGAATAACTTAGATAGAATGAACAAATTCCAAGAAACATGAAACCTGCCAAGACTAAATCATGAAGAAACAGAAAATCCAAATAGATATGTAACTTGTAAGAAAATCCAACCAGTAATCAAAAATCTCCCCAAAAAAGGAAAGTGTGGAACCTTATGGCTTCACTGGTGAATTCTTATGAGTATTTAAAGAAACACCAATAATCAGTCTTTCAAAAAATTAAAGATGAGGGAACACTTTCTGATTCATGAACCACCATTCTCTTCATACCAATGCCATTACCTGAAAAGAAAAACACAGACTGATAGCCGTTATGAACATTGTTGTAAAAATCATCAACAGAATACTATTAAACCAAATTTAACAATATATTAAAGGATTATAGACAGTGACAAAAAGGATTTATTACTGGAATGCCAGATGAGTTCTAAATACAAAAAAATCAATCCGTGTAATTCACCATTATTAGCAGAATAAAGGAAAAAAACCATGATCTTTTCAATTGATGCAGAAAAGGCATTTGACAAAATTCTATACACTTTCATAATTAAAACAAAACACCAACAACAGCAACAAAAATCTTAACAAACTGATAGAAGGAAACTACTTCAACATTATAAAAGCTAAATATGGAAAACTGAGAACCAACATCATACTTATATGGCAAAAGAAAAAAGAGTTTCCTCTAAAATCAGGAACAAGGAACCTCCTTTTGCCACTCCTATTCAACATAGGACTAGAAGTTCTAACTAGAGCAATTAGGCAAGTAAAAGAAATAAAAGGCATCCAAATTGAAAAGGAAAAAGGAAAATTACCTCAATTTACAACTGATACAATACTACATGTAGAAAAACTCAAAAGATTCCATGAAAAAAATCCAAAAGACAATAAATGAACTCAACAAAGCAGCAAGATATAAAGTCAACCATAAAAGTCAATTGCATTTTCATACACTCACAATGAGCAACATGAAAAGAAAAATATGAAAACATTTCCATTTACAATAGCATCAAAAAAGAAAAAAATATTTAGGAGTTTACTTACCAAGAAGGTGAAAGTCTTATACAATGAAAACTACAAAACAAACCTAGAAAAAATTAAACAAGACATAAATAAATGGGAAAAAAATTCCCATGTCCATCAACATGTCATTATCAAGATGTCAATGCTACCCAAAATGATCTATAGATTATATGCAATCCCCAATAAAATCCAAAGGATGCATTTTTGCAGAAATACAAAAATTTATCATGAAATTTGTATGGAGTTTCAAGTGACCTTAAATATTCTAAGCAATTTTGAAAAAGAACAAAACTGGAGGACTCATGACACCTGACTTCAACAATGAAGCTACAGTGATCAAAATAGTGTGGCACTGGCATAAAGACATTCAGGTAGACCATGAAATGGTGGAGCCCAGAAATAAATTGGACTTCTGTATGTGGTATCATCAAATGATTTTTGTCTGGGGTGCCAACATTCAGTGAGAAGGGACAGTCTTTTTAACAAATGGTGCTAGAAAAACCCACATACAAGAGAATGAAGTTGAATCTTTACCTAATACCATATAAGAAAAAGTAACTTAAAATGGATGAAAGACCTAAATGTAAGACCTAAAACTATAAAACTTTTAGGAAAAAATATAGGGCAAAAATGTCATGGCATTGGATTTGACAACGATTTCTATCACCAGAAGCACAGGCAACAAAAGAAGAGATAGACCTATTGTACTTCATAAAAATTTTAAAATTTTGTGCAGCTTAAGACAGTATCAGTAGAGTAGAAATGT